GGACTATTTTATTTTCCTGATTACTGCAGACTTCTAGCATGAGAACCAAATTAATGGGAATGATAAACTCCACTCTGCTCCCGGTTCGGCTGAATTATCCTGGGGGGGGGGGACGCAGAACAGGACTTGTCGATAGTCTTTGAGGAATGGTGCTCCAGGCCTCCCAGGATTCTGCCCGTTTCATGACGGGAGGAATCACACAGCTCTAAGTCTTTAGACAGGAGACACGACACACAATTCACAATCAGCCCGTCCGGGAGAAACCAAACACCTTCACATGAATCATCTCCACAGATAGATGGTGGACATGCGAGCATGTTCACAAGTACCTTATACCTCTGACCCCCGACCTTTGCCTTCCTTCAAGCACTCCCATTGGCTCTACATTTTCTATTGATTTTTTATTGCCCTTCAGTAGATTAATGGACGACTAGCTTGTGATTTTAAACAACTTAGCCTTTATATCCCCGCATCTTCTGTTTGATTCATTTGTACATGTGTTCATGTAGCTCAAGCAGAGCACTGCCCTAATAACCGAAAGGTTGTGGGTTCAAATCCCAGGGAGCACACATAGATTTTAACCCTTCCCTGTAATGTAAAATGCGATAGGTAAAAAAAATACCAGGTAACTAATGTAATGGTTGTGTTACTCAAATCATTCATCTTCAGTGCCAACAGCAGACACCTCCCAGGTTGACGCCATCTGACGAAGATCCAGTTCCTTAACCACTGCGCCTCCTGCTGGACTAACTCTCCACCGTTCAAAATCGGCTCGCAGCTGACGTAGATCAATAACCAGGTCTGCTCCCCAGGTCTGCTCCCCAGGTCGGCAGTAGCCCACCCACCCCCACCCCCATACCGGCCGTTTGGGGATGATGGCGTCAGCTCTGGCCGAGCTGAACATCAGGAGTCAGTGTGAAACGTGCTGGGCTGTTGACAGATGGGAAGGGTGGGGGGGGCCGCAGGGGAGTGGGTGATTTATGGCCAAGCATGGGGTGTTTAGCGCCGGGCGTTTAGCCGCGCCGTCTGGACGCCCCCCCCCCGATGGGGGATGAGATGGGCTCACCTCAGCCACACAGGGATCTTTTATTTATTGATGTCGCCGGGCAGTATGAGCGCACATGACATCAGCACATTTTCACCTGGGGAGTAGGGGGCTGTTTGTTCATCTCTGGCTACAATATCAGCGACGTAATACCGTCCTCCGAAGGGGGTGGACGTTGAGGTTTTACGGCTTACTGATAAACAGAGCCGAAAGACATTAAAAAAGCCTCTTTCATACGTTTCCACACACTGTAGCGCTTTTTTTTAACGCCGATTTCCAGTTATGGTTTCGGATACTTGGTCCCGATCGATTCCGACGGAGTGATTTTTAGTTTCCGAGCAGCCGATGCCAATGCGACCTTGTTAAAAGTAACAATCGAGCGAGTCGGTCATCCCTCTGAATTCAGCTCGCTGGATAACCTCAGAGTCTGACTTCTGGATCAATCCAGAAGTTCCTAAAGCTGGTGAGGGTGAACGCCGGCAGCCTGAGAGACGGACCGTCTGGCTCCCACTAACAGAAAAACAAAGAGGAGTTCACCTCGCGGGCTTGCGGCAGCCGTGGGGCTCACTGGATTGAAGTCGACACCCCCTGCGGGTCACTGCGCTCTGCTGAACAAATACACAAATCCCAGCACCCCCCACCTCTGACAGGGGGTCCCCTGCACCTGTTCGTCCCCCAGAAAAGCGGCTTTTCCACGCCCCAGGCTCCACTGAACCCCACCGACGCGGTGTGTCGAAATTCACTATGAGCCAAAACCTAACATGGCGCACGTGACCCTCCTCCAGTCCTCTGCTGCAGGGAATAACGGGCGGATAACCGACAGCGTCGCCGTGGACTCGGAACCGCTAATGCTAACCGACAGCCAGGCAGAAACGGCGCCATAATGAGCGGCGCAGGCGGCGTGACGGTGTGACATTAATTAGCTCTTCCTGTCTGCCGCCTGGCAAGAGGGAGTCTCATTCCGCACTGCCGGACGGCTTCCCCAAACACGGAGGGGAGAAATGCTCTGGACTGAGGTTTCACGGAGCCGTTACGTTCAATTAGAGGAGAAGGAATATCTCATGGGGTGTTAAAATATGATGAGGGTGCCAACAGGTGTAGAGGAGTCCAGTCATTACTCGAAAAATATGTTTACTCCTATACACGGTACTGTGCAAAAGTCTTAGTAAGTCAAAGAAAATGATGAAATGATCGTCATGTTGGTCGTCATGTTGGTGTAAATCTATGATGTCTGTGCCAGCTTTGCCATTTCCAAACCTTATCTAAGCCACCCTAATATTTACAGCGTCCATCTAATACACCCATGTACTCTCCGACTCTATCACTACCCCACTTCACATAGCTCATGAATACCTCGCTGACTTTTTAAAAAGATTCAAACTAATGAGTTAATTGAGCTGAATGTGAAATGTACCAAATCCATGGGATGGCTGGGGTGCCCCTGAGGAGAGGGTCTGGGAACTGAAGCGCTGTTCATCTAGCCGTCCAACTAGATATCGGTGACTTTTTGGAGAATGGAGGAAATTCTTGTTAGTTTCTGTCGTGTTACTCTTCATTGTCATATGTTCTAATGTAAAATTGTGTTCTGAGCACATATACCATTACTACCCAGATAAATAGCTGGGTAAATTTCCTTTGACTGACTATGATATATATAAATATATGTATACACACACATACTTATACATACATATACGGGCATGGATTTGAACAGCTGACAGTCCTCTGCTTGTTTCTGTTCATTTCTCCTTTATTTTTGGATGGCTGTACCAGCCCTATACAGCACAGCGCCCCCTTCCTGTCACCACCCACCTGTGATGCCCGGCACCCACTTCAAGACTTGAATGCCCCTCCCCCGTCGCTACCAGAGCATGGACGGACACCCTGGGTGTTTGATCACTGCCTTGCCCTATAAATAAACGAGTGGGGTCACCCCCCCCCCCCATCTCGAATGAACACCCCCACGCTCGCATAGCCACGTCATCGCAGGATGGCCCCCAAGGCGTGGCGCCGGCGCAAACCTGTCCCCGCCACTGGGGGGGCACAAGTCTAGACACGGTATAACCCCCCCTGGATCCGCCATTAGCAAAGCCGGCTTTCCATCAGGTCAGAAGGACGCTGAGCCCCACACTCTGATGCTAATGCACAGTTGCTAATTTTGGATACTGACACACAACATTAAAGAGCAGCACTGACCTCCCCACCGCCCCCCCACCCCAAATCCTGTTTACCATACACGTAGTAAGGTGCCCCCCCCCCACCCGAATCCACACCCCACGATGCATTACACTGCCGATCATTTGATATATGGCTCTGTCCGCCTGCCGTGACTAAATCAGCCAATGGCGATGATTCAGCGCCAGCGGGAGCCGTCACCAATCACAGCCCGGCGTGCACAGGACACATATGGACACCTCACTGTCACTTGGAGCTAATTTATCGCCAGCAGCCACATTGATTAACCTTGTGTGCCCCCCCACCCCAAAGAGAAGCCTGAATGATTGAGACACAAGTGGAAGAAAATAAAATATAAAAATCAAAGAGGGGGGGCACCCCCACTGGAGGCCTGAGATGGGTTGATCGAGCCCTGCGTGAATCCCACAGAGTGGCCCCTTTAAGACGGCAGGCCACTGTAACGGTCGTTAGCGTGTTAGCGTGCGCAACTCCGCCATCGACCCCCGCAGCCGCTTCGGTGTTTGGTCTTGCCATTTTTCCAAATATAGTACATTCTCCCTCTCTTTTCAGCGGGGTTCTCTAAAGGCAACCATCCCTCCGCGTACGGGACTGGGGCTGGGGGACGAGAGCAAACACCAGCAGCCCGGGTTCGAGGCTGGACCAAAGCCCCTTGAGGCATAGTGGGCATCATACGGGATATTAGCATGTGATTAGTAATGCCCCCCCTCCAAGAAACTCACCTCTGAATCCCTCAACCGCAGTGCACTCCCCCAGTACACCACCCAGTTAGCTTCCTCCTCCCAGTGCACCCCCTACCAGTGTGATCCCTCCCCTCCAGTGCACTGCCTGCCAGTACACCCCCCAGTGCATGCCCCCCACCAGTGCACTGAGATGCATACACCCCCCCCCACACTAAGTGAATGTAACTGTTCCATAGAAGCTCTCTCATGGCTTGACATCAAGTTTCTGTCTGCTTCCACAGAAACATATTTCAGGCTTTTGTCGCGATTCGCTTTTAAACCTTAATGAGAATAACGGAACAAATGTTTCCGACAGACCTGCAGCAACTGGCAGCAGCAGACGAGCCTCTTGTAAATCGCATTTCCTGGGCGTGTCCCTTTCATTTTCTCCCAGCTGGCGCCAGTGAACCTCACGTGACATCATCCATCTGGATCTCTCACTTCATTGGGCGATCCTGACCCTCCTCCCTCATCTGAACGCTTCTCTTTTTGTACCCCAACAACTATGGGGGCGACACTGTCTACTACACCATCAACACATAGCACCCCCTAGTGGAAGGGGCCTTCAATAACAATTGGCAACCAACCACTCGCATATAAAGCCAAATCTCTCATGTTCTGAGTCCCCCCCCCACACCTCTCCCACCCCTTGACATCTTCTATTTGTTAGGGCTCTGGTATGCTGATGCTGTACAAATTTGCTGTACGTCCCAAGGGAATCTCGAAGATCAACACACTCTGAATTAAAGTCGCGTAAGCTCTCCAGCTAATGAGAGAGCCTAGAGAAGGCGCCGTTTGTCACAGGAAACGTCACTAGATGACAGGGTATCCAGACGCCCGTCTTCGTTAACCTACATGCAAGTCCCCCCCCCCAGCACAATAGTCCCAGAGCGTGAAGTCAGGCTGGAAGAACGTCTCAAGGGGACCAAGGAGCGAAAGCGACGGCAATGTGAGGGAACCGCACATGAGGATGAGCCCAAGAACCGTCACGCTGGAGCGGCTTAGGGTTCGAGGTGGGGGTAGGGGGTGGGTTTACTCACGTTGTTCATGTACTCGCTGAGCAGATCCTGCAGTGCCTGCCGCACCGCGTTGCACTCGGCCACGATGCGCTCGCGCCGGTCGTCGCGGGTGCAGGACGAGTCGGCCATGAGGGCGGCGCCGCTGATGATGCTCTCCAGGCGCTCCTCCAGCGACGGGCGGAACCGGGCCTCGCTGAAGGTCAGCGGGTCCAGGATGATCTTGTTCTGAGGTGGGAGAGAGAGAGGTGAGGGTAAGGTCACCAGCGGGAGGCTGGATTTGAGCCCCGAAGGGCGTGAAGTTCCAGTGCGGGGCTCATACAGAGGTTATTACCCCTCCTTGGGCTTGGGGAAGAGTGTGAGACGGCCTCCTGAGAGGGAACATGCCACAGAAAGCGACAGACAAAAAAAAAAAACAAGCAAAGCACAGAGGGCAACATCAGAGCAGAGGCAAGCACCCGAGCAGCACGCATACAGAACCAAAAAAGTGACATCTGGCAGCCGAGGCAGGCGGGCGGAGATTCCCGGGGTGACCTTTCAGTGTGCTTTCTGGGCCTGACACAAGGGGGCGCCAGCTCCCGCAGTCCGTCTGCTCGGGAAGCAGACCGAGAACCCGTCTTTTACTGCACACAGTGCCACAAAATAGAGCTTTTATGAGTTGCACCGCGGAGTGGGAATTAGCATATTGATGGCGGAGATGTTACGTTTTACGAGGGTACAGTTTAAATATCCCGTCCTCAGCAGGGCGTGGGCCGGTGAGGCCGTGTCGAAATTGGCCCCGTTTATTGGTGGGGGGGTATGAT